GCATTGGTCCGAGCATCAGCTGTCATGTCCAATGGCCCTTTTATTCTAAACCTTGACTGTGACCACTACATCTACAACTCACAAGCAATAAGGGAAGGCATGTGTTTTATGATGGACCGAGGAGGGGATCGTATTTGTTATGTCCAATTTCCTCAGCGGTTTGAGGGGATTGATCCTTCTGATCGCTACGCAAATCACAATACTGTTTTCTTTGATGTGAATATGCGTGCCCTGGACGGCCTTCAAGGTCCAGTTTATGTGGGGACCGGTTGCCTCTTCCGTAGGATTGCTCTTTATGGTTTTGACCCACCACGAGCAAAGGACTACCACCCTGGTTGCTGCAGCTGTTGCTTTGGTCGGCGCAAGAATAAAGCCAGCGTCGCTGATGAAAAGAGGGCGCTTAGAATGGGTGATGATGATGAGGAAATGGATCTTGCTTTGTTTCCTAAAAGATTTGGTAACTCCAATGTCCTCGTTGAATCGATCCCAGTGGCCGAATTCCAAGGTAGACCACTGGCCGATCACCCTGCTGTAAAGAACGGAAGACCTCCTGGTGCACTAACTATTCCAAGAGAGCTCCTTGATGCTTCCACTGTTGCCGAAGCAATCAGTGTCATTTCGTGTTGGTACGAAGACAAAACCGAATGGGGAAACAGAGTTGGATGGATTTATGGCTCAGTCACTGAAGATGTGGTAACAGGTTATAGGATGCACAATAGGGGTTGGAGATCTATATATTGTGTGACGAAAAGAGATGCATTCCGCGGCACTGCACCAATCAATCTGACTGACAGGCTTCACCAGGTCCTACGATGGGCTACTGGTTCTGTCGAAATCTTCTTCTCAAGGAATAATGCGTTTCTGGCTAGTCCGAAGATGAAGATTTTACAACGGATCGCCTACCTCAACGTTGGCATCTACCCCTTCACCTCAATATTCCTGATTGTCTACTGCTTCCTCCCGGCACTCTCACTTTTCTCGGGTCAATTCATCGTCCAGAGCCTTAATATCACCTTTCTCGTGTATCTCCTTGTCATCTCATTAACTCTCTGCATGCTTGCTATTCTTGAGATCAAGTGGTCCGGCATTGCTTTGGAAGAGTGGTGGCGTAATGAGCAATTTTGGTTAATCGGAGGGACAAGTGCTCATCTTGCTGCTGTACTTCAGGGGCTGCTAAAAGTGGTTGCTGGCATAGAGATTTCATTCACTCTAACGTCGAAATCTGCTGGTGATGAAAACGACGATGAGTTTGCTGATCTCTATATCATCAAATGGACATCCTTGATGATTCCACCTATTACAATCATGATGGTAAACTTAGTCGCGATAGCAGTTGGTTTCAGCCGGACAATATATAGCACGATACCACAATGGAGTCGTTTGCTAGGTGGCGTTTTCTTCAGCTTTTGGGTGTTGGCGCATCTCTATCCTTTCGCGAAAGGACTGATGGGACGAAGAGGAAGAACGCCAACGATTGTTTTCGTCTGGTCTGGACTTATTGCCATCACCATTTCACTTCTTTGGGTTGCAATCAATCCTCCAGCAGGTACCACTGAAATTGGAGGTTCATTTCAGTTCCCTTAACTCTTATTACACAAGAACAACAACAAACCCGCAGACCTTACCCCTACCCGGGGAGGTAGAGAGACTGTTTCTGACAGACACTCGAGTTAACTTTTATTACACAATCAATTCAAATTATTCTTTTAGTTCTATTTTCTTTCTATTCTTGATATGTAAGGAAAGTGAACAAGGGAATTGATTTTTTGGTGAATTTTTCATCACATTTGTCCTTGAAGTTTTTATTGTTGGCTCAATGTTCATAAGAAAGAACAGCAAATACAATACATTCTTTGTAATCAGAACCTCAAAATACAATAGTGAAATTGATTCTCTTAATAGTCTTTTCTATATTTTTTTTGCTTCTTTGAAGTTTTTCAACTTTGCTGCATGTTTCATGAGAAAATTTGATGGTAAATACCTAATCGCGTTCGATGTTTACACCAAACCAAGAGATATCTCAGCAATTGCAAATTGAAGTCGGAATACATATTCCTTAACCATGGTTAAATGATAAATGTGTGAATGAAAAATACGTCTTCTTCATTGATTTGGTGTAAACAACAAGTGCTTATATTACCTTAACAATTATTAATTTTATTTTTTTGTTTCTCATCCAGTGTTTGATACCCACATTGGGGCCCGACTAAATCAGGATTCGCGCGGAAAAGTCTCACATTGGGGGTAGCATGATCCCTAATAAAGGCGATTTCGTACCTAAAGCTTGAACTCGAGACCTCTAGTTAAGGATGAAGTACTCCTTACCAATCCACCACAACCGTTATTGATAACAATTATAAATTGAAATCAGAATAAAAATCATTTGGCATGGTTAAATGAAAATACGTGAAAAATAGACACATTTAGATTTGATACCGTAGACCTTACTTCACATCTACATGTTGGTGGCCATGTTCCGAATAATACTTGTTTTCACGTTCGCGCGTCAGAATTATCTTTTATTTTGACTCAGCAATGTTATCATGTTCTTGAGTCATCTGTTAAGTATTACCAAACTCTTTGAAAAAAATCAATTCTTTTTTTCTGATTTCTAACTAACTCCACTACTTTTTCAAATCTTAGCACCATGATTACCTAATATGCATTGTGAAAATTCTAAATGTAATCCATATACTCCAAGTCAACCAATCAAAATTATATCAAATTGTTCAACTTTCTGGATATTAGGACTTAATGAATAAAAAGGAAAAAGAAAATGAGAGTGAGGATATTGATGCATATGTGAGAGGAAGGGAAGAAGAAAGAGTGGTTGGATCCAGTTCGCCTACTCTTGTTGGTTATAATGAAGAAACATGTGCAATGGTGGTCTGGAGTGAAGAGATTAGTGATAATGAGGAGATAATGAATGAAAATATGAGAATAGAATCACAGAAAATATGTGATGGTTCTGATAATAGAAGTGCAACGAATGGGCTGGTTAGGTTAAGCAAACGATTTCATGAACCAGTTCCTTATCTTGCTAAAATAGACAAAAGTCTCAATCTGCTGTAAAAGGTGTCAGATAGTTATAATCAAAAGAAGAAGAGCAAAGTTAGAAAAACTGTAGAAAAGGGCATGGGTGGCACTAAGAGAAAGAGTGCTTCTTCTATCCCTGTAGCAACTCCTCCCACAAGAGGATGAACTATAAGGAGCCAGAAGAAATAGAGTAAGGCCAATGTAAAAAGGTCTTAGCTGAGAGTGCCAAGAAAATCGCTTCGAAACAAAAAGCCGGTAAGCCAAGTGGAGTAGTCCAGATTGAGGGGATGAACCTGGTTTATGAGGATGAAGATAAAGATGTAGAAGTAACCATACCTAGTGCCAAAAAGTGAAAGAATTCTCAAGAAACAAAGGTTGTGGCAGAGGGTTCAGATGTGACTAAAATAACCATGTCTACCAAAAAGAGCAAATAGACTTAAATAGTGGGAAAAAATAGTTAAGGATGTTGAGATTGAACGATTGAAGACTAAATTGGCTGATGTAGAGGATGAGAGAGACAATCTCAAGTGTGAGCTTGCAAATTAAAAGGAAAAGAATGGTGGTATTCTTCAACATATGTTGAAACTGCTTCAAGCCAAGAACTAAGAACCTGGTTCTTCTCAGTCCTAAATTCTTCCTAGCCCAATTGTAACCAGTGACCCAAGTGAGATTTCTCTATTTTTTTCTCATGGTTCTATTGGTTTTATTTCTTTTTATGCCTTGTGGTAGTATCTTATCAATCAATGAAGTTTACTGCTTTTGCTCTAAATGTTTGTTGATATTTCTTAGATGGCTAATATCTTTAGATTGAAAAAGAAAAAATTTAATCCATGATTGCATTTGGACCTCGTAGGTCTTAGCACGCCTACAAATCACTCATCAATATAATTGAAGGATACTAGCTTGGTCCAAAATGTTAGGCGATTTGGCGTCAAAACAGCACGGGCTAGCCAGTTTTCGGTCTGATCATTCAAAAACAGCGAGCGTTTGTCAAGTCATTGAAAAATAGCCACTATTTTGCTGCAACAAAGACCGGTCCAGTAAAATATACTGGAGTTCCAGCAGTATACTGGAATTCCAGTATATTATGTTGGAGTATTTTCTGGATTTTGAACAGTGCTTTCGTTCAGATTTATCTTTACATAAAAAGTGGCTAAATTTCAATATTTTTTGAAACTGTGGCTATTTTTGAATGACCACTTATAAATCTGGCTATTTTTTAACTTCTCCCAGATTTGGCAAACTGAATTTGTTTCAAAATATTGATCGTATTATTTTTAGAAAGAAACAAAAAGTCATTTTTTTTCCAAATATATCCTTACTGCCTTAGTTAGAAGTGCGTTAATTAAATGAGATGTTTAAGAAGAAATAAAGGCGGTTCAGACAAATACTCTTCGGATTAAGGCATTAAAATATTTTTTTCAATAGGCGTGCAAGAACCTTAAAAGATTATTTAAAATGCATTAGGAGACAATAATAACAATAACAACGGTCCAGTAAAATTTCACTTGTAGGGTCTACGGAGGGTAGTGTGTACGCAGACCTTACCCGTACCCCGAGGGGATAGAGAAGCTGTTTCCGATAGGCCCACGGCTCAAGAAGACGAAAAAAAACAATATATCAATACCATCAATAGAAACCATAAAAAAAAAATAATAGTATCAACAGAACCAGAAAATAGATGAAAAGCAAAACAATAACCAGTAGATAAAGCCCGTCACTAAGAGTAACGAAAGAGTAATGTTTACTCAACATAAACTACTAACAGTCTTAACACTCTGGTGCGCTATAAAAATATGCATAAAATGCATTAGGAGAGTGTATAGCATTTTCTATCTTTTGCTCTTGGTTTGGCCAGATATCAACCATCTGTGCTATTTGAAGTTTCAAATACATTATTTGGGATCATTAAAATGTCATTATCAACAAATTTATGAGTTATACTGCTTTCTGGGAGAAGGAAAGATTCAAGCTATGGCTGCCCCTCATTAGTTCCCAGCTCGGGAAAAATGTTTCATAATTCAATTAAACAATCCTCAAACAAGGACATGCAGAAGAGAGATTCCTAGGGAAGGGGGAACTGAAAATACTAAAAGGGTTGAAATACACAGAAATTGTATCAGTAGTTATTACTACAAATATTTTTTGACCTAACAAGAGGCTGAATAAAAAATACACCCATAATCCACAAGAATCTATGGAGCGCGGCAAAGAACCTTGGATTCAGCTTTCGTCACCTCAGTGAATCCTACTGCCAAAACCCGAGTCAGAGGCACTGCCAGCGAGCAAAGAAGCACTTTTAGTAACCAAAACAAAAACCCCATGGATCAGCATTTGGATCAGTACTGGTCAACCATATTAGTAGATACAAATTTGAGGAAAAAATAGACATTTCCCTGCACACTGCTGGAACAGAACCACTGCGACGATCACATTCTCTACATATTATCCAGGTTTCTCGACCATAAAAGATTGGTTCAACAGAGAAACGATGGACAGTGTTGGACATACAGATCCTGATAACACTAGCATGGTGACCTTTCGCGAGTTATAAACTACTACTCAATGCAGATCAAACCCTTGCTATTACAAAGTTTGTTAGGTTAAGCTCCTAATCATTAATCCACATTACTGCAGCCAGAACGTCATTAGCTACCCTGCTCGGACTCCTTTTGTGAAGAATGCTGGGCTTTTTTGCCCAGAAGTTGGTCATCTCGACTAGTTCTTGGATCATCTTCCCCTGGAACTTCCCCAAGTCTCTCCTGCAAAGTCAAATCCAATGACTTAAATAGCATAAAACTTAGGGATAATTACCTTATTGGGCCGCCCTCCAAAATAGTAGCCGGAAAATGTAAATGTTTTGTATATTAAGTATAATTATACATATTATATACATATCAGTGGCTAGCGGCTGTAATTAATTTCACCCAATGGGACAAAAATGAAAAAAGGCCCAAAAAATTACTGCCTCCGATTCAAATATAAGTAATTTTTGCAAACTGAATTTGTTTCAAATATTTGACGGGATTAGAAAAAAAAAGTCAATTTATTAATTTTTCCAGATCTGCTCATATTGTTCCACCAGTGGAGTATTAATTAAGTGAGACGCTTACGGAGAGATAAAGGATTAGATGTACTCCGTCCTGATAAACATTTATAATTTGATCTTTCATCCTTGGCTTAACTATTTACTATGTCCTGAACTTCATTATTTATTAGTGTGTATTGGGCGAACCGAAGAAGGGTAGAGAGAGAAACCTTAAGAGATGCATTCTGAGCAAGAAGTTGCTCATACTCACTCCTGATACGACTCACTTCAGCTCTAAGAGAGGAATTTTCTTCCCTTAGAACTTCAGCACGCTGCGCAAGTTCATCACACTCTGCCTGGCTCACAAAAGGCGAAGTGGAGTCAGGGTTAATTATGATTGAAAAAGGAAAAAACTGAAGGATTATTTGTACCTGCTTTCGTAACCTAGATCGACGAGCAGATTCCCTGTTGGACTGTTTTCTTCTCTGCCGCTTAAGCTCCCTTTCGTCCTGAATTCAATCGCAAAGAAAAGATCGTCAGTGACAATGCATTAACTATCCAGAAAGAGAAGAAACACTATGTTAAAAGAGACATCCTCAGTTAAAAAGGAAGAAAAGCAGAAAATTAATATGACAAAAATGGTTGCGGAGAAATCAGATGATCTTCTAGGTGCTCAACACTGAGCGAACGGCAAGGATGACACCTCATTAGAAGCCCATTTACTTCGCAATTTGATCAAAAAATGGAGTTGTGACGCTGGGATCTTGGGTAGAGGCAGGGTGATATTTTAGTAGTAAAGCTTATGCTTCTGTTCAACACATAATGACTGAAGTAAAATAATAGAATTCATGGAGATCTTGGACTCTGGTGTTCTCCTCCAACTCCGTATCCTAACTCAGATCAAACCATCCCATGCACATATATGTGCATTAAGTCATCAACAAAGCCTATATCAGTGTGAATATTTTAGTCCATACTTCACTCATGTAACTAAAACACGTGCTCTTTTAAGTGTGTTTTATGTGGACATAAATCATAGTTATCTACATATGTGAATCTAGCTGCAATAGACTCGCTTACAATTCAACATACAGAATCATGAGTTCTTAACAAATGGAGAGACAAAAAGGATACCTGAATCCAAATATGTGATTGAGCGCTATCTCGTGATCCAGCAGCAACCAACCCTCCAGCAACTGAAGCAGAAGGTACATTTCCGTGTATTGCAGGAATAGATGATGCGGTGGCAGCACCCCAGTAATCCATACCAATATTCAAGTTGGTTGTGGGTCCAGGAATACCTCCCGCCGCAGCAGCTGATATCGGGGCGATTGCCATAGTTTGGTTAATCATTGAATGAGGAGCGCCGCCAGTCCCTCCATTCTGGGAACCATGTGCAGCATTTCCATTTTGAGATGTGTCAGCTGTAGCAGAGACATCATACTACTTTTACATCAAATATATTCATCCCCAAAATAGTTACCACATATTCAAAGCAAATTCATATCACCAGACCTGAATCTTGCCCGCCTCCTGAATTCATTGGTGACTCCTACAAAATCAATATGACAAACAATCAGATACTGGCTCGACGAACCAAAGGACATACTGAAATAACAATGAGTTAGCTTTTCCCTGTAATACACACACGCACACGCACACACGCATAACTGACTATGAGGGTGTTTGGCTAGGCTTATAAGCTGGTCAAACTGGCTTATAAACACTTTTTTGGCTTATCTACGCGTTTGGCAAATACCTAAAGTGCTTATGAGCCAAGTGCTTATAAGCTAAAATCGGCCATAGGTCATAAGTTGGTCACCCCCAACTTATAGTTTTTTAGCTTATAAGCATTTTTAGTTTGACCAAGAATTTTACTAGTTTATCCTTAATAATATTTTTTAATTCACAAAATATTTTCCCTAAATAAATTTTCTAACTTTCTTTTCATTCCATATTCGTTGTTCATCCTTTTCTTTACAAAGAAACTTTTTAATTTATAATATTTTGTAACTTTTTTAAGGATATTTTAGTCATTTTAATAAAAGAACAACTTATTAGTAGTTTTCTACCAAACACATCAATTGATTATTATCGGCTTCAGCACATCTTTCCAAACACTTAGAGCCCGTTTGGATTAGCTGATTTGAAGTAGCTGATAAGCATTAGGTGCTGAAAAACACTTTTAAGTGCTGAAATTGATCTAATAAATAAGCAGTTACGTGTTTCGATACAAGTGCTTAAATTGACAATAAGTTGTTGCAGTATTTGATTAAAAAGTGCTGATAAGCTCTTTTTCTGTTAAAATGACTTAAATAACCTTAGAACTGTTTACACTTGTAAGGGCGTAATTTCTTCAAAATTTTAGATTCCAGATCGATTCAAATACAAAATATTCTATTTGTCATTTTATTTTAAATACAACCGTGCTTAGCTAAGATAATTTTTATGATAAATATAATTTATTTTATGATAATCATATAATCATAAGTTATAATAATTAATAAATTGACAAAAGTTTCTCAATAAAAAATAAACCTAATAGGACAAATTATTTGAAGAGAAACAAACACTATCTTCATCACCACAACACTTGGAAAGCAATACACCAAAAATTTGATATGTCCTCATTTATTACATACAGTTCAAAGATTAATAAACAATCACATAGATACAAATATGCAAAGGAATAGAGAATTTGCTTCTATTAAATAGTCAATGAGAATTGCAAACTTGAAGGGAGGGAGGGGGGGTTAGGTTGAAAAAATACTTGAGGCAGTGAGCATTGATGTAGGAGTTTTGTTCTAAAAGGGAATATTTTAAGGATACAACAACAACAACAACAACCCAGTATAATCCCACTTAGTGGGGTCTGGGGAGGGTAGTGTGTACGCAGACCTTACCCCTATCCTAGGGTAGAGAGACTGTTTCCAAATAGACCCCCGGCATCCTTCCCTCCAAGAACTTCCCACCTTGCTCTTGGGAAGACTCGAACTCACAACCTCTAGGTTGGAAGTGGGGGTTGCTTACCATCAGAGCAACCCCTCTTGTCATATTTTAAGGATAAAATAATAAAAATCTTGGTCAAACTTAAAGTGCTTATAAGCTAAAAATTCATAAGTTGGAGGTGACCAACTTATGGCTTTTGGCGTATTTTTGACTTATAAGCACTTTTAACTTACCAAACAACTAAATAAGCCGAAAAGTGCTTATAAGCTTAGCCAAACACCCTCTATGTTGAATTGTACAAAGCACAGACAAGCCTGAAGCCATTGCTTTAAGATGGAAAGCATGTTTATCATACTTCCCATAAACAGGAAATAAAAAACTACCTTCTACCATATAATAATTGAAATAAAACAAAATACATCATACAATACCCACATTCTGAGAATTTGCGTCACTTCCTTCACTTGACCCTTCACTTCCACTCTCGGCACTACAAGTCCAACATTGGCACAGGTCATAAGTCTCATGAACTGATAGGGAAGTATTTAGGCTTGACAACTCGAAATACTTTAAGCAAAAAAGCATTCTCACATGGATAGAAAATATCATGATTAGCAACAAATATATTAATATATCTGATACTCCAAAATATTTCTGTATTCAACCTAACCAATAAGTATATTTTAGATTCCTGGACAGCAATTATCTTGCTCAGCAAAAGCTAAAAAGATTGCAAAACAGTATGTATCAGAAAACCATACATGAGAAGAACACATCATTCCAACCGGAAGCAGAGGCGGCGCTTACGCCTTCAACCCCGAAAGGATCCAGGATTTAAACACTATGGATTCAACTTTTAAGGTTTTTAGCATTGAACTCATTATATTTTTAAAGTTATGGATTCATATCTACTATTTTTGCAATTTTAGTGAATTTTTACAAATAAATTTTTACTCCGCATCGAAAGTTATGGGTTCAATTGAACCCGTCGGTAGAACACTACATCCACCCCAGACAGGAAGCCCTACTCTTTTAACTTAAAAACGTGTTTACAACACTGCTTATTCCAGCCAACCCTTACGGCATTCAGGAAGTGCTAACAATAGCTAAACTGGGAAATATGGAGCATGACTTACAACCATCTGATGACTAGAATCCGCTCAATCGGAAATGCATACTAAGTAGAGTCCACAAAACCAAGAAGTCACATTTGGCTTGATTTACATTATTCAATTTATAAAAGTCTCAGACGAGAAGATAAGCTGAAGTTGATCGACCAGAAAAAATTAATAAGGCAATTTGGACTGTAAGTGCCCAATTAATCTACTTTCGCTGTAAGTGCCCAATCGGAAATGCATACTAAGTAGAGCCCACAAAACCAAGAAGTCACATTTGGCTTGATTTACATTATTCAATTTATAAAAGTCTCAGACGAGAAGATAAGCTGAAGTTGATCGACCAGAAAAAATTAATAAGGCAATTTGGACTGTAAGTGCCCAATTAATCTACTTTCGCTGTAAGTGCCCATTTAATAACCATTCTAAATTCTTCTGCTTATATTATAATTTCCAATATTCTGAGAACTTTCATATTATGCATCATACCTTTTAGAATAGACTCCATTGGCAGATGCTCCAGATGTCTTACCAGGTCCATTGTTCTTCCCGGTGATCATATTCAAACTACCCAAGCTTCCCTTAGATCTCTTAATGGGCAATTTTTCCTTTCCCTCGGATGACTTACCATCTACTTCAGCATTACCAGGGTTGCTAACCTGCATAAGGAAAAATGAAGGAAGCAATATGAGAACTGGAAACTTAAAACATTGATTACGTGGACAAAGTTATTCAACACATTCAGCGTAGGTACTCACTGCAGCTTCAGTGACACCATTTGGGGAAGCCATCGCAAAAGGGCTGAAAGGGTAAGATCCCTGATTAATTTGGAAAATATCAGTTTCAAGTTAGCAAAATCAGAACTGAGATGCATATAGTTAGTAAGACAGTAAACATCAGGCAACAAGATTATACCGGAGGCATTGATGGATGAGCATATATGCCGCCATGGGGATACATTGCAACGTATGGATGTGGTGGAGTTCCATAGGGTGGCATAAATTGCTGAAAAACCAGCCGCCAAAATTGTTAAAGAAATATTTTTGTTTTTTTGACAAGGTCAAATTTTATTAAAACAGTATCGGGCTGCTACTGTGAAAATACAGAGATAAAATAGAACCACAAACTGCGTAGCAACTTGTAAAATAGAACCACAGACAAAAGCAAGGAAATATAAACCACAAAAATCAGATTAAAAGATAATCCATACAAAAGAAATACTAAATTTTGGCACTATTATCCACATGCTTGAAGATTCATCAGAATAATCTTTACACTTTCACAATCCATGGAGATGGAGTAAAAAGAAACCAGCAGAATTGTTGTACAGAAGCATCATTAACTTATTCATCAAGATTTCAGAAGAAAAATTGAGAGGCTTTGATGATGACTTGAAATAAAAGCCTCAATTGCTCTTGTTCTCGGTAATCCTGTAATACGAAATATGCAGTCTGGAATAAATTTTCATCCTTTCAGTTAACCATATTAACACTTGTGAAACGGTGAATGCTATCCAAAGAACTGCTTGAGCGAGACCACAGAATTTATACCAAGTCTTTTTCTTCTTGACAATTTAGGATCAGTACAAGTCATTGGCAACTTAGCAAAGAAAGCTATGTACATTCCACACATGAAATTTTCAGGAGGCACACATCTGCACAAGGTGGTAGCAAATTGACACATCATATTCTTCAAAATGCACGAAGCCAGCAAGTTTTGCCGCTTGAGACTCGAGATTAGTCATACTCTAGAAAATCATGCAAGTAGAAATGTGCATAAAGCAAACAACATAATTACATATTTTCATGATATCCAGATCCAAATGCAGAAGCGTATGATGAAAGCATCGCTTGCAAAACACACAGATGCAACAGAAGAACCACCTTACCTGTACTTATTTCTTTTGATAGTACCATAATTATGCTAATTTCACAATAAAAAGATAATAACATAATGAAAGAACGCCATAGAGATCTATCATCAGTCACTTTTTCCCCTATAAAAAGCATTAGACAAGCTATTACATCGTAACAACCTGCTTTATTCAATTTGTGCCAGCTATGCTGTAGTAGCAAAGGTTAAAAAAACGCAGTCTGAGCACTTTAAATTGCTTTACTGCTCTTCTCTATGTAAGTGACAATTTGGTACCACTACAATACCTTTGAACTCAAATTAGAAGAAGAGGCGGAGGGGAAAAAGAGATTTAGCTTGAACAACAAGCCATATAGCTCGTTTTAAAGCATTTAAAAGAGAAAGACAAGCTGCTTTATTCAGGTTGTGAAGCAATCGCTCCAAGCGAACTCAAGAAGCTGCTTTACAACCCTTTTCTAAGTGAAAGGTATCTCCTGCTAATTTGACACAATTTAAACATATAATCTATCCAAAAGGGATAATTGTACTTTTGGTCCCTCATTAACAAATTTCAGTCTAGGTCTCAGTGAAATCTGAATATTTGACATTTGATCGATAGTATTATATGCTTTTTTAATGAAAAGTTTTCTTAAAATCAGCTTTTTTTACTCTGAGGAAACAAGTTTACTGATTTTGGACTTAAAATAAAGAGTCAAGGGACAAAACTAATTCTCTCTTAACATAAAAGATAAGTCATCTCATGGTTAAGTTTAAAAATACAATAAATTTTAGAAAACATATTAGAGGAAGGGCCAAATGCACAATCCTATTAATTGAACAGTAGATGTGTTTATTTGCATGCCACAAAGACCAAAATTGGAAATTACCAACATCGAATACTAAAACCACAATCTAATACATCTTTGACCCTATTTAACAGGTTCGAACCTCAAAGCTCAAACCTTTCCCATAATTTTAATCAAGTTTATGAACCACTTCGATATATTATCTATAAGCACGCCGATTAAAAGACAACTGAAGCATACCGCAGTCTTTCTCGCTTAAATTAATTCAACGCACCAAAAAATAGCTTAAGCTAAGAATGCTTCTATAACTAAATTCATAAGCGATCAGCCAAGTAAAGAGAATGCTGATAAAAAACGGGATTTATAATGTCCATAATAGATTCCTTCCTCACCAAAAAAGGGTATCATCTCGCAAATATTTATTACTCCCTCCATTTCAATTTATGTGTCTTACTTTCCTTTTCAGTAAAAAAAAAAAAAGGCAGCCCGGTGCATTAAGCTCCCGCTATGCATGGGGTCTGGGGATTTTGATGCCACTTTCTATATTTAGTAACTCTTCAATTCCAACATCCTACATGGCATGTTTAAGACCACACGATTAAACGGCATTTTGATACATCGTAAGGCCATAAGATTCAAAAGTCTTCCTTACTTTCTTAAACTCCGTGTTCGGTCAAACTACGACACAAAATGAAACAGAGGAAGTAGAAAGCATAGTATCCAAGCCCATAAACGAATCACTAGCAGACAAGATGAAACCCCAAGAATGAGTTATCAGATCATCATAGAGCCACACTCATCATAAACAAATCATGAAAGAGTGAAATATAACGAACTTAAATCATCTCTTTCTTTTTTAACTCTTGCAGACCAGGGGGTATGTAATTGAATCAATACGCATTCTAACTAGCTTAATGTAATGCTTCTTGATTCAAAAGTCAGAACCTATCCTGAAATCCGTGTGCTGATACTAGCTTATTGTAATGCTAATTAGATCGGACTTTTGAAAGAAATTCAAAACAGCATGTGAATCAGAGCCACGTCATATGTGAAATTTCCATACCTGAACTCCCCACATATAAGGGTGTGCTTGAGGACTTGATGCCATAAACCCATGTGGAGGCATAGGAGAATATGCCTGCATTTTGATCATCAATGTCCTTAGACTACCAACAAAGAAATGCCAATAAATGAGGCAAAAGGCTGAGAAAATATGCTACAGAGAAACCATACCTGAAAGCCAGACCAATCTGGATTGACTGAGCCGGCGGTAGTAGTAGAAGCCTGCTCCTATATAGTGCCAAGAAGCAAAACACATTAATTGGTGGGATGATTAAAAGAACTCACACAAAAATACTTGTTCAGGGAAAAAAATGGTTTTTTGTTTTTGGTACAAAAGTTCTATTACTGAACACCAAGCCAGTACCAAAAGTATGTCAAAGTTGTTTATATGTCTCAACCCGCGTCATCCACTAACATCTATCAACTTTACCAGTTATCTATAGAACACACAGTATTCTCTCTTAGCACCAACCAGTTACCTGTGAATTGGGAGTCTTCGGCTCTTTTGCTTCCTTTGCCTCCTTTGAGGATTTATCCATCTCACTGCTACCCATGGCTCGACTGCACTACTACGTCAAAAATTCCTCAAACCATTCTGTCGTGCACATACACATATATGCATCAAAAATTAGTTTTAAATCACTTTCTACCTGATAAATATTCTACACATGAAATTGTCAAAAGTAACCGAATAGACCAAAAGTACCACAGATCAACATAGACAAACACAGACAACAACAAGTCAACAACAGCAACAACTACACCTCAGTCCCAAACTAGTTGGGGTTGTCTATATGAATCCTTGCTGACAACTTTTCTAACATTTAAACTCATCTAACGTGAGGATTCATCATGAAACTGGTTAGTTTAACGCTGGCTGCCCGCCTACCGTAACCCGGGCTCCATAAAATTGTCAAACATCACCGGATAATTGGAATTAATCGGCGATATTCACCAAGCTCGAGTATCCATTCAAACAAATTCCCTATTAACTTATAACAATCTCCCAACTTTCAAAAGGAAAACTAACTCGCAAAAGCATAAAGTTCAAGTCAATCAACTAAGCCTCAATCCAAATCCTCCACTCCATTGTACCCATTTTTGAATACTAGAAAGTCCTTCATCACATAGAAAGACCTTGGTTTCACATAGATAAAGTAAAACCCTAAAAGGGTTGCAGTATGTCAACAGCCAGTATAAACATAGTCCATTTTATGAATCCACATACAGAACAACATTATGTAAAATGGAGTCTTTCCGCTGCTTCATAACAATAGATTTAATAATACAATACAATTAAATTAAGTAACAATCACAACCAACATTGTATTTAAAATAACAATACAATACAAAAATGGACTCCACATACAGAACAACATAATGATCCAATCACACCAAATCCATCATTACATAAAATGGGATCCTTCAGCTGTGTCACAACAATGGATTTAATAATACAATTTAAGTAACAATCAAAACCAACATTGTATATAAAATAACAATACAATACAAGCTGTAACACGGTTGCAGTAGGTCTACAGCTAGTGTAAATATAGTTCATTTTATGAATTCACATACAGAATTATGCAAACATAAAGAGAAAAAAGCAACCCAAAACACCCAATAACAAATTAAACATGAAAAATAATCCAAAAGCCACAGAATCTAAAAAATGGTGAATTTGTTAGTTACCGTGGAAATTAAACAAAGACTAGTGAATCTTGAAGAACTGGGTCAGCTTTAACTGCAGTAAAACTCCAATTACAGCCAATCCCAGTTTAAATTACAGTACCCAGCTGGTAAACCTCAAAATTAGAAGGAAAAAAATAAAGATTGAATATAAATTGGGGTTAAAAACGACCAAATAAGAAATCCCCAAATTTTGGGAAATTAAGGAGGTAAATTTGGAGAGAGAAAAATTGGGGACAAAAGTGTGTCGCTGTTCCGAGGATTTGCAGTAAGAGAAGGTGAAGTTTCGATGGCTTTGTCTTCTTCTGTTCGATTGTGTTGATGATTAATTTTGTTGATTGTTTTCCGTGGACTTGTTTCAACGGCTCAGATTTCTCTTTAATAAAAAAAGATGAATTAGTTTTACAAAGATATTAGAGATTTTTTTTTAATTATACTAACCAAATATTATTAGGAGAATAGTTTTTTTATAGTATTTTGTTAGAACTGAAAAAATGGTGTGGATTTCAAGTATTTGCAAAAAAATTCAAAACTTTCTTTAATTGAGTTGTAAAAAAAAAAAAAAAAGGAAA